TGCTCGTGTTTGGCAACAACGGATATAATCCGCCTTATCGGTTCATCGCATCGGAAACAAAAAGCGAAAGAATTTGAAACGCTGATCACGATATTTTTATTCAGTCAATGCGTCAGTCAGTCGGTAACGCGTGAGTGAATAGTGGTGTTTGCTGCGTGGCTCAAACGAAATAAAAAATGGCACATGTTTATGCGGATCGGTTTACCAATCGAGTGCAACCAACCCCTCGTGCGTTTGTTAATTTAGTACAACGGGCTCGTGAATCATGTGACTTAAGACCTCACAGAGGAGGGCATGCCGGTGCTCAATACAGGTCCGCACTGAAATACTTGTCGGGAGGATACTTTATAAAACAAGGTAACTTGTTTTTAATTTTTTTTTTATTTTTACACACATATTTTGGTTTATCTTCCTTCTACAATCATTATCTGAAAATTAGTGACTCAACTTCAAAGTCTATAGTAAGTAAAGTATATACATATTATATATACAGGGTGTTTCAGTTTATTGTTGCATAACTTTAAGATTCGATAGAACTTTTAAAATTAATGCATAAAGACTATATAAACATGGGTCGAAATATGCGTGGCTTCCGGAATACAGGGTGTTTAAATTTACTTTCTAAAATAGTTTTTTTTTAAATATTTCGAACAATATTTGATGTATAACAGTGAAAATTGGTATACAAGGGTTTTTGGTACGACAAACGAACCATGGGCATAGTTTTACTGTAGCCGCTGGAGGGCACTCTCTACTGTACCTGTAGTGGTATTAAAATGACCGAAAATTCTTTCTTAGTGAATAAAGGAACTGATTCTTCGCACTTTTCAACATAAAAAAGCTCTCCTGTGAGTTTTCGTTATAGTTAGCCGTTTTTGAGATATTTCGATTTTTAAGGTTCGATTCATTTTAATTATATATGGGAAAATAATATTTTTTTACATTTTCGATTTGGGCATTACAAGTAATTAAATGATCTTTTAGATTGTGTTTTTTAAACACAGCAATAATTCCTACTCCAAATAAACACAAAAAACAGATTATTAATTTGTTAAATTTTCCAATATTATTTTTAACAAATTAAATTAATTATTTACAACTAAAATGCTATTGGATAGTTAGGACAAACATACCAAATTTGAAGTAGTTGCTCGAAATGTAAACCCAATTTATTGTTCAATACACATTCACATCTACGAATGATCGAAAGTGGTATAGCATTATTCAAATAAGGCCTTATTTCATCACATGCATTCCTGATTCTCTCTATTAGCATATCTCTTGTGGTTACGGGAGTCTGGTAGACTTTTTCTTTTAGAAATCCCCACTCAAAGAAATCTAATGGATTTAGGTCAGGGGATCGTGGAGGCCAGGCAGCTGGTCCTCTACGGCCAATCCATCTTTCTGGATAATTTTCGTCCAGCCAGTTTCTAACTATTCTCGAATAATGAGCTGGACAACCATCAAGCTGGAACCAGGCCAATCTTCTTAAATCTGACATAACATCATCCCACATAATTGCATGTTCAGCCTTTAAAAATTCCAAGAAGGTCGCAGCATTTAACCTTGCAGGCAAAAGGTAGGGTCCAAATAGTCGATTACGGTAGATAGCAATCCACACGTTCACCCTAAATTCATGCTAAAAATTTCTTTCCCGAACTGCATGCGGATTTCCATGCGACCAAGTATGTTGATTATGAAAATTTCCCACTCCACGTCTAGTGAAGCATGACTCATCGGTCCATAAAACGTTACTTGAAACTCCCTATTATTATCAGTTCTATCAAGAATCCACTGACAAAATGTGATTCTTCGTTCTCCGTCCCCTGGCTGTAGCCCTTGCACAGGTTGCAAATGGTAAGGACGTCTATGGTCATTTCTAAGAACACGGTGAACATGGCTTGCTGAAATTCCCAAGGCACCAGAAACTCTCCTAACACTTGTGGTCGGATCTCTATCAAACTCACTTAGAATCATACGGGTAAATCTCAGCTGACGAACATTTATGTTTTGATCCCTTTGGAGATTTCCAAAACCATTTTCAATTATTTGGCGATGCACTCTTACAAATACTGAGCGAGTTGGATGTCGTCTGTTTGGAAATCTTCGTGCGTATTCTCTGGCTGCTTCTGCTGCGTTTCCATTTACAAAGCCATACACAAAATGAATATACGCTAACTCTTGATTGGAGAATAAAAATAGCATTTTTATAAAACTTACAAAAAAAAACAGGTAAAGAAACTAAATTCCGTGCATTCACAATGCAAAAAAACATTTCAGGTTTCAACAGACAACAAAACTAACTGTCAACTAATTTACGTTTAACCTTATTCTGCTTTCAATTTCAAAAATATTTGCAGGCACAGCCTACTCTAAAAAATAATCGAGATACTGACTTTTTAACGGTATTTTATCATAAATAGTTAAAAATGCATCGAACCTTAAAAATCTAAATATCTCAAAAACGGCTAACTATAACAAAAATTCACAAGAGAGCTTTTCTATGTTGAAAAGTGCGAAGAATCAGTTTGTTATTCAAAAAGTAAAAAATTGCACTAATAAAAATTTTTCGGTCTCTTTAATACACTACAGGTACAGTAAAGAGCGCCCTCTAGCGGCTACAGCTATTCCTGTTTATTATAATATGCGAGCTCTACGTTTAGAGAGCATATTGCCTTTATCAGTAGACTAATAGCAGCCGAGTCAGTTACGTTTTTCTATGTTGAAGGGTACTGAGATGTTCTGAGTACTATACATTTTTGTTAGACGGTGTGTTGTTTCAGTTTATTGTGATCGAGACTAGCTTTATGGACAATGCCTAGAAATTGTGTAAATAGTGCGAACAGTTTTTGCTATGTACGAGGAGAGCTAACATTTAAATCCCAAAAACGTACTTTTACTCCTCTTGTGTTGAAACCATACGAACTTTATTTTGGAATTAAAGTTGGCGACCGAGGTAAACTATGGGCCCCTCATATATTTTGTGAGACTTGTGCAACGTTGTTAACAGGTTGGTTAAGGGGCGACAATCGTGAAAATGCGCTGTGCGGTACCAATGGTTTGGAGAGAACTGGGAGACCATACTACTGATTGCTATTTTGCCTTACAACTATTAAAGGTATTGAACCAAAATCGAAACATACCGTTGATTACTTTAATTCGCCATCAGCTTTGCGGCCTGTTAAGCATTGTGATGAAGTTTCTGTCCCAATTGCACCAGAATCATGGTTTTTTGATCAAAAAGTCGGATCCACCGATTCTGAAAGTGATGGTACACAGGGCGAACTTAATGACTTAGTTCGAGAATTAAATGTATCAAAATCCCAGTCAAATCTCTTAGCGTCAAGATTAAAAGGATGGAATCTTATCCACGGTGAAGTTAACGTTACTTTTTACGGAAAACGGCAACAAGACCGCACACACTGTTTCTGTCAAGAAAGGGAGTTGATATATTGCTCCGATATCAACAATTTGTTAGATGTGTTAGGACAGAAACATGATCAAAATGCTTAGTTTAAAACGGTATTAGTACACAACGGTAATAAATATCCATCTGTACCTATAGCGCTTGCAGATCATATGAAGGAATCATATGAAAATATGCGAGTTCTGTTAGAGCATATCCGTTATAATGAATATGGATGGGCCATTGTGTGCAGATTTAAAGGTAATAGCACTTCTTCTTGGAATGCAACTGGGATATACTAAATATTGTTGTTTTCTTTGTGAATGGGACAGTTGTGCGCGAGATCGTCATTATGGACAGAAGGAGTGGCCACTACATCGGGTATTAAGTCCGGGCAATCAAAAACATTGCTAATGAACCACTAGTTGATCCCAAAAACGTGTTGCTTCCATCTTTGCATATTAAGTTGGGACTGATGAAAAGATTTTTTGCAAGCTATGGATCGAAATGAAAGAGGGTTTCTGCATTTAAAATAAACATTTCCGATACTTAGCGAGACAAAAATTAAAGAAGGGGGATATTTGTGGGCCCACAAATACGGAAAATCATGAGGCATGATGTATTTGACAGTGCTCTAAAATCAGTTACTGCAATTTTTTTATGCAATGTGAAGGCGGACAATTATAAAGATATTGTGAGTGAACTCATTAATGCTTATGAAGGACTGGGATGTGACATATATATGAAAACTCACTGCTTGGTTCTCATCTCGATTTTTTTCCGGAAAATTTAGCTGCGGTAAGTGATGAATATGGTGAACGGTTCCACCAAGACATTTCTGCTATAGAAAAATTGTATCAAGGCAAATGGAGTGTCAATTTGCTTGCTGACTATTGCTGGACATTGTTAAGAGATACTTCGAGAGCAACATGTCGCCGTAAAACATTGACAACAACATTCTGAGATTAATGTTTATTCGAGTGTTTATTAGAACTCTTATACACATATCGTTATATTTTACGTGTATAAGCAGCAAATAAAATGCCTTATTGCAAGAAAACCGTGGGTGATAGAAAAAATCGAATGCTATTTTCGGCTTTTTGGGTACGTTTTACATAATAGCCACCTTGTTTTGTCTATGTCACAAAAAAATTATTTTAATTTTGTTCAGCAGTGTAATTCGTCAACCGTATTCACCTAAGCTTTGTGCACTAAATATCTAATTTCGCCCGAACAGAAAAGAAATCATCAGGCATCTTGAAAAATGATCTGCATGAACTCGCGAAGCCTCAGTAGTATTTCGAAGACCGTGACTTAAAATAATATCGGCAACTCTGAAAGCGCTGTAAGAGAACTAAAAATCAACGGCTGAAAATCAGTTAGAATCATACCTCAACATAATTATGTTCCTAACACTGCGTTAGGACCATCAAATATCGCTGCACCACTACTAATACTTCAAGGACGAGTCTCAAAAGATATTTTAACTGAGTTCTTATTTTTCTTGGGGTAATGAATAAGCTATTGAAATGAAGATGAAAGTTCCTATTATATGGTATACTGTAAATTTTAATTTTTATATCCATATCCTTAGTCCACTGCTACCTTCTTGATGAGGTTCCTCAAGGACCAATGTTCATTGAAAACAAGTGAGAAGGAGCAAAGCGGTAATTGAATTTGAGAAGTAATCAAGAAATATTTCTTTCTACATGTTTTATATGTACATTTGGGGAGTCCATTACCTTTCAGTCGCAAAGCCAACAAAGAGCAATTCGGGGGAGGATTCTTGTACATTTAATTTGTTCATAATATTGTCGCTAACAAATAGTGCAGCTTTAAGGTCCTCAGCATGAAACGAAAGTATTTAAAATTCCAGTCGTTTCCAGAAATTAATGCTAATGGCATTATTTGGGCTGTTTGCCCATTGTGCTAATTGTACTCTACTTTAAATGAATATTGAGCTTGCTTAATTTTATACCACGAACATGATTGTCACTCAGATTTAAACCAAAAGTTCTACACCATTTGTCACAAGTTAAACGATTGACTTACAGTTTAACATCCATAAACTCTCAAACAAATAGCTTCTAGTCCATTCATGACAACTTCTAATATTAGTTTAGAACTAGCTTACTGGCCCGCGGTTTCATCCGCGGAACGTCTAGGTCGCGCCGCTAATAATGTAACCAAACCAAAACATGCTAGTTGGCTGTCAATTTACTAATATCATTAAAGATCCAAAGCGCGATCACGGAAATTAAAAACAATATTTTATGTTAGTAGGAGTCCCAAGCGTACGAAGTGACGGGTGACAGCTAGTGAAAAATAAAGCATCTGCACGCTTGACGCTCACCGACCGGCTTGTTGCTAACAGTGAATATTTTGGTACATGCTGCGACAGTTGATTACAAAATTGAAGATGAGTTTAAACGTACCGTATAACCATTTCAAAACTTCAACAACGCGATAGGTGTAAAATATACGTAGACTCGGGAAAGTAGCGTACGAGATGTAATAGGTAAACCTAGTTAGTGTCATAGTTGGCTTAGGTAGAATGACAGCTAGTACTCCAAAAAAATAGGAACATTTGTATAAGGATTCCTGCACCTGGGCGACAATAGACTTTGTTGGTAGCAACGTTAAATTAGTGCGTCCCAATGATAAGTTCGTATTGACGTCATGATAGCGCTGGAGCTTTTGTCGCCAATTAGATAAACGCGTTTGATCAAACATTTCGATTACCATCGATCCTATGTAAAAAAGTATTAGAAACAGTTGACGCTATAAAGAGAACATAGCCTACTAATTTCAAAAATCAAATTTGGCATCGATAATTTTCTGAGTTAAACCTATGGTAATAACATAATTTTTCGATATTAAACGGTCGTCTTTCCCGTCACAAAAAAAAATGTGTATTATACACGGGAAACTAGATTTTATCTTTTGCTTTTTTGTCTGAATGTTGGACTTATAGCGACAATTCGACCTGCGTTGCTAAGGAAACTTTTAAAGTAATCAAATAACTGTCAACTTAATTTTGTGATTCGATTTAAAAATTGTGACTTAGTGGTTGTTTTGAAGTTATTTTTAATACTATAAAGTAAAAAATGTCTGCTACCGAGTTTTCTTTGGCCCCACCGAAATTAGTAGAAGTAGTCAAAGCAGCGTCACAAAAATTATTGCCAGCTAAATCGTCTATACAATATCTGGGAGAAAAGTACTCATTTTTTTCCCGGCAAAAAAGTTTGTTTCATAAAAAGTGACATTTTGTTACCTGTCAACAGAGATAAAATGTCAAACTTTTTTTCCGTTACAGAAAAATAGTTATTTATTATACAAGGGAAGTACTAGGTTTTTTTGAGGTTGTAACAACCCGAAAGCTAAAATCTAGTACTTCTCCCGTGCATAATCCACGTATTCAAGATTCATGGAATGGAAGATGAAAAGAACATGCAGTTTTTTATCGGAGACGGTGTTATTGCCTTATTTTTTGGAACTGGTACAGCAAAAAAAGCCATCAACAGTGAGGTCGAGTTATTCAATGATTAAAAGTATGTCACGATGCACTGATAATGTAGATATTTCAAAATATTTCAAACTACTTACATTTCTGAAACAAATGGGAAATGATTTGCCTTGTATAATAAATAGCTATTTTAATGTGAATCCGTTTTTACTACTACGTGCAATTACAGAAGATGGAAAATTTTTGGTATGTCAATTGCGATTTTGTCCCTGAGTACCTGCAATAACGCAGTACCAAAATGACCAGTCAACAGACTGATGGAAGTAAGTGACTTGCTTCCTCATCATAAATTATCCGAAATCTTACATTTTCCATAATTAGGCAGTAAAAAATCATTAACCTCAAAGTGGGGTTCTTGATCACCGCTAATGGCTTAAGGAGTTATCCCCAGGTGAAAACATGTTTACGCAGAGTATGCCCTGCGACTGTTTTCATACGAATTTTTAATTTTTCGCTTCTTATACTTGAAGAACCATCAAGGCATCTGTAAAATATTTTTTTGGAAAGTTGTATTCTCTACAAAAGAAGATAGTAGTCTTCATACGTTTATGTTAGTTTAGCCATTATAAGAGACCAATAATCACTACGTATGTACCGCTACCTTCAAATTCCTCATGACCTGTTTACCATATGAGAAATTTTTATAAAACCAAAATGATAAAAAACTTGTTCCTATTACTTTTTTACATAGGATAGATGGTAACCGACAAGACGTTCTTAACTGACTGACAAAACTTTCAGGTACACTATTTTCCAGCTCTTCCTAATCACGATTGAAATTGTAGAGGAAATTGGTGGAGCCCATCGCAGAGTCAAAGATCTGGAAAGTGGTTATTTTCATATTTGAAATATATTGTCACAAAAATGCTATAGCAATGTTGAAACCTCCTAGGGAAGGGATTGAAATTATTTAATTCATTCCAACATTACAATAGCTAAACTTGGCTGCAACATTTGTGCGTAAATGTAACCAGTCTATCTTCCTAAATTCAAAAATACCGCTGCAAAGCAGGTAGGTTGCACTAACAGAATGCGAATTGCACCATCTCCGTACTTTAATATCCTGTCCTTTCAACCTTCCGAATAAAGCTGGCTGCGGAGAATTTCTCAACGTTGCTCTGCTCTAAATGTCTACCGTTTTGTGACATCGGCGTTGCTGGGGCTTACGGCTTGTCGCGCAGATTCTGCTAAACGCACACATGCACAACAGAAGCGGGATACAACGGGATTATTTATGCTCGGTTATTTGCAATGACATTGTGACGTCGTCGCTGGATGTCATCTTTTATCCCGGTGCATATTAGAATGGCGTATATGCATACCTTCACATATACATATATTGCGTAGTAGTATTTTCAGAAGCAAAATAACTGTCGTTAGTGCTGGCGTTCATAAGTATGAACGCTAGCACTAACAGCCCACATGAGTATGTGGGCTGAAAGGACCTGTGATTTCGTGACGTACGTTGAAGACAATTTTGAAGCGAATTGAAGCAGTTCAGTGTCTTCGTAGAAGCTTGCGGGACTTGCGAAAAGTATGATCAACAAAAGTATGCGACGAGTTTGTTTTGCCCAAGGATACTTTTTATACAAGAAACGCAAGGCCATCGCGATTACCAGATTTGAACCCTACAGACATTCTCCATATAAATCGTAATCGGTTCTTTTTAAATATGAAACAGCATTTTTGGCTGCTCCATTTTCGATAAAAAACTTATACAGGGTGGCCCATCCATGTGCTGGACGGAATTTTACTCCTAAACAAATACATTCTGGGGAAAATCTATTAACGGGATATTATACATTACATTTGATGGCACATTTCTAAACTTCTAGCCATTATACAGGGGTACCAATTTCGAACTACATATCAAAGTTGTGATTTTTCAAATAGAATGCCTCAAATTTTATTGCATATTTGGATAAAACAATTCATAAGAAGAAAACTGATATTAACATACTATGGCGTTTTGGTAATTAACTACTGAGACATAAGGTTGTATGTCTAGAAAAAACCTCCTACTTCGACAACCTCTCAGTCCGCCATTTTGAAATTTGAAGTGCTGAATTTTATACCAAAAAAAACTTACACACCTCAGCTTTTATATTATTATCATTTTTTTCGAATTTCAATTTTTGCTCGTACAGGATGGTCAAAAACGCAAATCGTAGTGTTTCTCAAAATTTCAAATGCATCAACCTGTATATTTGTACAAGCTTGGATTCAATTTTTTATAAACTTTTTTTTGATACTAGACAAATAAGGGTTTTTACGGCTATTTTTTCGGTTATTGCAAATTTTATGGAACGGCTTAATTCCCTAAAATATCGCATCATCCTTGGAAACAAATATATTGTTGATCAGTTACGAACTGTCAGAATTAACTTTGTGAGCATTATAACAAAAACGTGTTTGAAAATGAATTTTCTAAGAAGAAATGGTGAATATAGTGTTCGTTTTGGGCAAAGCCTAATGAAGTAGTTTCTTAGCATCTCGCATTATATCTTGGCCTTCTAGATCACCGATCACCGATAGACTTCTTTTTATGGGGCTACGCTTTAAGCAAGAGATTTTATAGATATCCACCATCCCAACATCACCCCAGAAAATATGAAGGAAAGGATTAAGGATGCTTCTCTGAACATAAGGGAACACATGCTGAGGGATGTGCAACGGTCGTTTATCCAAAGACTACGGCTGTGTATTCAATATGGTGGAGATATTTTCGAGCAGTTTTTGTAGATTAGGTCTTGAGTACTGATAGTTGTTTGTTTATGTTGTTGTTACAGTTGTCTTTCACTATTATGCTTGAAGCTGAATCCTGTTCTGATTGTTATTAGTTTTTACGTCAAATCTGTACTCTTAGTAGCAATATGGAACTAGCCCACTATTTGTCTTTTGTTTCCATGGATGGTGTGATTTTTTTCCTTAATTTTCGTATGTTGCTCTATTGAAAGCTTAATAACTCAAAATCTAGTGACTTTATCTGAATCAAACCTTATACCAAAAAAGCTTATAAAAAATTTAGTTCAAACTTGCAAAAATATACAGGGTGATGTATTTGAAATTTTTGAGAAAAAAGTACAATTCGCGTTTTTGACCACCCTGTATGAGCAAAAATGAAAATTTGAAAAAGTAACAAATAAAAT